CATTTTGTTAGTTAAATGAAATTATTATAACAATAACTATATTGGGCATGAAATATATTTTAGGCAGTCTGAATATATAAGAGATACAACTTTATTATTTAAGAGTCTATGCCAGCACAAAGATATTTATTTTCTTGTCCTCTGGTACCCTTCATAGCTACTCAGGGTGCAAGAGGGCACTTTCTTTGGTGAGATTGGTATTGGCAGCCAGATCTCCATAGCACTAATTTGGGGAAAAGAACATTGTGTCCAGAGATAGTATACAGTTTCTTCAGGGTCAAGTACAAACTCCGTAGTCTGAGATTTGGGGCCTTATTCTTCCAAAGCTATGTCACCTACTCTCCCTTACTTTATGAGTGAACCTTTTGTCTTGGTCAAATCTGATTTGTTGCTGGATGTACCTTTGGCCTTCTTTGCAATTGTTTCCTGTTCTTTTATCCAATCAATTCTACCTACTCCTTGGTTTATCATGATCTATTATAAATGCTATTTATAATGGAGAATAAATAAATAGCTATTATTGTATAGGTAAATAAATATTGTTCAAATTGCTTACTGTACAAAGACTTCTGGCCAGAACAGGTGACATGGGTATAAATCTAGCCAAGTCATATGTCCTGCTGATAAGCTATCTGCTTGGAGGAATGACACATTTTCCTAATTAGAAAAAGGCACTAGAGAGGGTAGGCTGGCATCTCATGTATTGTTGTTAACTTTCATCTATTTTGCCTTATGTTTTCTAGAGATTATAAACTCTTTGAGGACTCAGGATTTGAGGTTTTGGTAGGTATCGCAATGCAATAATACAAAGCTATTATCAAGAAAGTATTGGACTTTAAGTAAGAGATTATACTACAAGATCTTTGATGAAAGAATCACTTGTCTTTCTCTTTTTAAAAAACAATTGAGAAATAAATCCTCAATAAATCTCTGTAGTAGTATTTGAAGTAACAGTGAGAAAACATCAATGCCACTCTCTTTTAAAAAAATGCTTTAGTAGCCATCTTGGCTTCTTAGAAGAAGAAGGCAGGAATAAAATGGCACAATTTCCCCTCTGAATGTCTAGACTGGGTTTAAATGAACTTTTAAGTGTAGGCTGTTCTTACCTGTTTCCAAAGCTGCAATACACAGGAACTTTGTGGTGAAAATAGAAAAATAGGCTTGGACTTCACTGGTCTTGCAAAGGAGTGCCTGTACTCTGTGTACTGAGGACACTGGGAAGATAGCCATGAGTTTCTGACCTCAAGGTGTTTCTGGATTGTTAGTGGAGAGCCACAGACACGGAAACAAGTGGTTATAAACTGATCTAAGAGGTGCTATTGCAGTAAGAGCAGGTATAGATGCCAGTCAGGGCACTATGAGGTAGCAGACAACGGCTCTTCCCAGGCTTCAGCAGACTCAGGTAGAATGACTGCGTCACTTTAACTCATGGTAATTTCATGCATGTCCATGTCTTCCACTGCAATCCCTGTGCTCATGACTATGGAAATGTGTGCCTCCATCTCAGACCCCTCCACCGTGCTGTTTCTACCTGGAAACCTCAAAGGCCTCCTAAGCCCATTCTGTCCCAAATGGATCTCAGGATCTTTGCCCCCAAATCTGATTATCTTCCAATGTTCCATCCTTCCAAATGGAACCGCCCATCCATCTGGCTCAGTAAACTCTGGCTTGGTAAATTAATTTGCTTGGCTCACTCTCTACTTCCAGCTCCCAGTCCAACTTTACATCAGCTGCTCTTGCATGGAATGGAGACAATTTCCTCTGGAGTGGACTCCCATGTCCTCTCTGGGTTCTCTAGCCCCTTAGACTGCAGTATCTGGAATGATCATTTCAAAATGCAAGAGACTGATGATGTCATATGCTCCACAGGCTATACTCCTCCTGCCTTGAACTATATCTTTTTTTCTTTTCTTTTTCTTTTTGTTGGTTGGTTGTGGGCCTTGAACTCAGGGGCCTGGGTGTTGTCCCTGAATTTTTTTTTTGCTTAAGGATAGCACTGTATCACTTTGAGCCACAGGGTCACTTCCCATTTTCTGATAGTTAATTTGAGATAAGAATCTCACAGACTATCCTGCCCAGGCTGGCTTTGAACCACAATCTTCATAGCTCAGCCTCCTGAGTAGGCAGGATTATAGGAATGAACCACCATCACTCAGATGAAATCTCTTAATTCTTTCTCATTTCTCTTAGGTTAAAGACTTGTCAGTGTGCCTCTTGATAGTCTGGCCTCTGGTTGCTTCCCCAGCTCTCAAGAGTATCAACTCCCCCCTTTCCCTGCCCTGTCCTGAGCCCTATGACACAGGCTTGCTCATAGGCCTCAGATCCAGGAAGCTCCCTTGGCCTAAAATTCTCTCTTCTGAAGCTACCACTCCTGCTGTTCTCATTGCCTATTTCATCACTTCTCATTTTTCAGATATTAGCTTTGATATTCTTTCTTGATTCCCCACCCCACCTCAACACACTCTTGCCTAAAATCACACATTTGTTTCGTGGTTGTTTGATTGATGTCTATTTTCTCTGAAAGACTGTAAGCCCCAGGATTCTGGTTGAGTTTGCCTTCCCGTAAATTTCCATGCCCAGCACAGTACCTGACATACCTTAGACCCAATGAAACCTGCATTGTTGTTCCAGAATAGAGAGCCATACTCCATAGGACCACAGTGGTATGGAACTTTGGAGAAAGTATTCAGAGGTGGGATTGGGAATTGGGAATGAGATTTTCCAGAGATGCAGATGCAGGACTGGCCAAGCCAAGAGCAAGGCTTTCAAGAAGTAGCTCTGCAAAAGATATGGTGAGGAAATATGGAGGACAAAGAATCTTGGGATCAGGGACATGTGGGAGGAGGCATCTGATGAACATAACCTGAATTGGGACAGTAGAAGAAGAAATGAAGAGGTGGGGATTTTAGTATTTTCCATTTCTACTTTTCTCCCTCAAGATAGGCAGTAAGTGATCAAGGGAATTTGCCTGGTTGTACAATTATTTCCCTGTCTGACTGAGGAGGAGAAAGGAGTAGGGAAGAGTGGGACAGTCATGAATCTGTGGGTCTTTCTCCTTTCTCAGATATATGTGGTCTGTAAAAGGTTGATAGGCATCTTCATCTACCTGAACTGCCATAAGGAAAAACATAGGCTGGCCAGCTAATTAGTAGCAGATATTTCTTTCCCATAGTTTTGAAGACTAGGAAGTCTGAGGTTGGTATGACTAATTGATGATGGTTATGTTCTGGTGAGGATTCTTCTGTGTTGCAGACAGCTGATTTTCAGTGTATCCTCCTGTAGCAGAGTGAGCTATCTCTCTGGTGTCTTCTAAGGGCACGACAACTCTACTCTTAAGTCCTAATTGCCTTTTAAAAATCATCGGCTCCAAATGTATTACTTTGAAGATTAAAATTCAGAATATGAAAATGGGAGATAGAGAATGAACCAAATATTCAGTCTATAATAGGAGGACTGACAAGGTGATGTCAGGACCTGAGCTGGTAAGGATTGTAATATAAGGTGTCATGAAATCCATGGCAACTTTTTTGGGGCTAGGCATTTCTGGTCCTTATTTCCTGTCCTGATTTAAGATGGCCACTCTGATATCCTGTCTTAACTGAGGTCTCTTGAAGTTCTCACCACAAAGGGTATTTTCTGATGGGGATTTTGTAGAGGGAAATATGGTCTTGAACTAGGGAATCATGTAAAAATTAACAGAGGCAATCTGCTTCCCCTTAGACATTGGGTCACATCTCCTATTTTAATATTCTTTCCTATGATTCCTAGTGAGAATCACAAAGCTAACAGTAGAATGATAAAAAGTTGATGCTACGAAAGTTTGGCTTTTTGCAAACATACTTTTTTTTATTGCTACAACACTCTCCCCTAAGATGTTATCAATATAATAATATTGCTGTATTAATAATGTTCATGGCTAATGCATCATATGTCATTTGACATTTTGAGACTACAAGCAGGGATGCTATATTTGGCCATACAAGTTGTGAATGACACTGTTTGTATAGGTATCATATCCCCTGGAGTTTTGCAAGATGGCAACCTTATTCACGGAGTGTGCAAGGCTGGTGCTAGCCTCATTGTGCTGGCTCAGAAAGGAAAAATGCCATGTTCAATGTCTTATGATGACCAAAGCTGGCAAAGCAGCCAGGGTCCAACTTCTGAATCTAAATCCAGTCTTAATTTTGCTGTACTTCATTGCTTCCTGACCAAGCAGTGAGTGAGTAAATGAGTGAACAGGGTATAGGAAAAACTTCTATTCAGAAGCCAAGAGTCACTCATGATAGTGATTTGTTTTGAAGTTCCTGGGTTCCATTAGCAGAACCAGTTGCCCAACTCTCCAGTCCATTTGCTTGAGAGCATGAGTCCCAGACAATGTGGCCTCAGGTGTTTCCTTCTATGCTTCCTATACCCTTTCTACTTTCTCCTCTGCCTGTCCCATTCCTTAGGTGTCTTGCTTTTCAGCCAATACCAGATCATCTGCTTCCATAAGGTGTTCATTAATAAGACAGGCTCATAATTTCAATAAGGATAAATAATTTCAGTAAATTATAAAAACAGCCTTTAAAGCACAAATGAACTAATATATCAGGATTGAATTCCTAGTTGAAGACCAGGAAAAGGTTGTAAAAATCAGAATACATATGATAAATAGGAGGACTACAAAGATAGTGGTTTTTCTGGGGATTTGGGTGGAAAGGGTAAAGGCTTTAGTTCTTATGATATCATCTTCCACTTAGTTGTTTTAAGTTGGGTCTCCCTAACATCTTTTTTGCTTTATTTAGCTGAGAATGGCCCTGCATTTGGACCACATCTGTGGGGCGGGGGAGGGCAATGTCGGTGGCAGAGAGAATTTGGACAGCAGCATCCAGACCCCAGCCTGCCCCAGGATCTCTGTTTTTAAATGCCATTACGAGGTACAGTTGGTCTAGATAGAGCTCAGGGCCTCTTCCCATCAGACTAATGCAGCTGGGGCAGAGGGGCAAAGGGGTGGGGGTGACTGCTGGGCTGGCTGCCTGGCAATCTCTGGGAGCCTGGGAGAGGGATTATGCTCTCTCAGTGGGCCTCATCACCATAATAAAAATGGGAGTGATGCTTATCGACTCATCAGGATTGCTCATTTAGACGATTACTCTATTTTCAATCCCATTTTCAGAGAAAAGAGGATTGCTGGACATTTCCTCCTCCCCCCCCCCCCGCCCCTCGCACAGGGCAGTGTTTGTTGGTGGCTTCTGGAAAGGATGTATTGGTGGTAGGCATGTGGCAGGCTGAGAGCTTTGCCCTCTTTGTCTTCCAGAGCTGGGAGGCCACAGTGGGATGGCTATCCCCTGAGAGATAGGAGAGGAGGAGAAACAGCTCAGCAGGGGTGGGAGCAGCTGGCTGGCGTCACTAATTTCCTGCAGGAGATTTTGGTGGCTGAGTTCACGTCATTCTTTCTTTTGCCCCTCTCTCTGTGCTCTCTCAGGTGTTACTAAAATTATCGAATTCAACCCTTGGGCTGTTTTGAGCTAAATGCAGCTTCTTTGCCTCATCTCTGTGGAACTCAGGTATAAAGCAGCATCACTTCTTGGGAACTAGAAGGAGGGGATATGTGTCCCTGAGCAGCCAGAATACATACACATTACAAAATTTCTCTTTCTACACAGAAGAGCTTGGAGGTCTGGCTCAGAGACCCTGATTCTGACTTACCCCAGGGGTCTAGTTAGTTTAGCAAACTGCTTTCTGGCACCCTAGCAGACTGAAAATTGGAATAAAGGTGAAGGAAGACAGCTCCAGGTTGGAAGCAAAAGTCAGTCGTTAGACCAAGAAGGTGTCATTTTTTTGTGTGTTAGTATATGTAGGTGGAATCCTGACTCTGGATAATTGGTTTGTGGTCCTCTCCAATGCTGCAGTTGGGGGTTCCAGGTATCTCTCTTGTGTGACTGTGAGGGTGAAGGGCAAAGAGAGGGAGGGGAGACCTTGATAGGGAGCTGGTGTGCAACAGGGATGGTGACTGTGTTTTGTGACACCTTAAGTTTGGGTGCTTAGATGTTGCCTGCCTGTTTTTGCTGGAGCTGTCCAGTGATGTATCTGCCCTTGACCTTCTTACTGTCCTCCTTAGTGTTCTCAGGGTGAATTCCTTTCTAGGCAGAGATGTTAAGATGCTCAATAAAATGGAATTTTTTTTGTCCTGTTATTGTTCTGATGTTTGGATTTTTGAGATAGAGTCCTACTATGTAAACCAGTCTGGTCTTGAACTCATGATCTTCCTGCCTCTGCTTCCTGAGTGCTATGATAATAGATGAGTACCACTGTGCCTCACAAGAAAGGATTTATTTAGCATAATTATGTTCTAAATTTTTCATGAAATATACTAAAATGTCATTTGTATCTGAAATTCATATCTACTTAGACATGCATTTTTTCTTATGTTTAATTAAATTTGCTCAAAAATTATCTTTAAATAGTAATACAAAGGGTTTTCAATCCAACATAAGGGCATCACATAATTTAAATACACTTTTAACTTTTAGATTTACAGAAAAATTATGAAGATAGTATAGGGCATTGCCATATATCCATACCTATTTTTCCCCATTACTATTTTATGCCAGTATGATATATATCAAAATTAATGAACTAATATTGATTTGTTATTGTTAACTAAAGTCCATACATTATTAGGCTTTAATTAAAAAAATCTTATCGTAAAGGTGACTTACAGAGGGGTTACAGCTACATAAACAAGGTAATGAATACATTCCTTTTTGAACAGTGTTACTTCCTCCCTCATTTTCTCCCACTTTCCATCCCCCCCCAACCTCACTCCCTTCAAAATGTTGTTTATTTCTAACATAGTGTCTAGTGAGTTTCACTGTTGCATTGGTTCACCCTTTATTCCACCATTTTTGTGATTCCCCTTCCTTTCCCTAAATCAGATAAACTTATATACAAGACAAAGGGTACCAAAATCAGAAACAGTGACCACAGGGAATAAACCATAGGAGAGAAAAAAAGAAAGACCAAAGACATAACTGCAAACAGTATGCTAAAAAAAATAGAAAAACCAATAACAACAAAACCTCTCTTTTTTCATCTCATGGAGATAATTTCAATTAGTATCGATTTTCTTTTTCGTCAGTTGTGGATCATGAACTCTGGACCTGGGCACTGTCCCTCAGCTCTTCAGCTCAAGGCTAGTGCTCTACCACTTGAGCCACAGTACCATTTACAGCCTTTTCTACTTATGTGGTACTGAGGAATAGAACCCAGGGCCTCATGCATGCAAGGCAAGCACTCTACCACTGAGCTACCTTCCCAGCCCCAATTAGTATCATTTTTGTATGGTCATATATACATAGCTATTAGGCTATTGTGAAACTCAGCTAGGACTATCCTAAGCATATGCTAATTATTACAAATGAGAGAAACCATGGAGCCTATGTTTCTTTGGGTCTGGCTTATTTTACTTAATATGATTTTTTTCCAAATCTTTTTATTTCCTGGGGTGGTGTCATTCTTTCTGATGGAGGCATAATATTCCATTATATATATATGTGTGTATCTCTCTCTCTCTCTCTCTCTCTATACACACACACACACACACACACACACACACACACACATATATCACATTTTCTTGATCCATTCATCTACTGAAGGGCATCTGGGTTGATTCCATAGCTTAGCTATGGTAAATAATGCTGCAATAAACATAGTTGTTCTGGTTGTTTTAGTGTGGCCTTGTTTGTAATTATTTGGGTAAATGCCCAGGAGTGGAATTGCTGGGTCATAGGGGAGCTCTATGTTTAGTTTTTTGAGGAAGCTTCATAATGCTTTCCAGAGTGGTTGAACCAGTTTACATTCCCATGAACAGTTTAGTGGCATTCTCTTTTGGTCACATCTCCTCCAGCATCTGTTATTGTTATTATTATTTTGATAACGGCCATTCTAACTGGGGTGAGGTAGAATCTCACTGTGGTTAGATTTCTTTAACATCTTTTCTTGTCCTGGGTTCCCATCTAGGATCTCACATCACACTTAGTCATCATGCCTCTCCAGGCTCCTCTTGGCTGTGATAGTATCTCAGACTTGATTTCGATGACCTTGGTTGGCAAAGTTTGAAGAGCACTGGTCTGATATTCTGTAGACCTGGCAGATTTTTTTTTAAAAATCTTGATTAGGCTGGGATAATGCGTTTTGGTTTAATAATACAGACACGAAGTGCCATTCTTATCTGTTTTAAGTTGGGTACTGGTCTCTCAATGGTGAACATGAATGGTATCCTGCTGAGGTAGTTCTCATCCAGTTTAGCATCTTGGAAATTTATTTGCTGAATTCAATAACTCTTTTCCTGGTACAACAGCTCTTCATGACTAGGCCTCTGCTTACTGCCACAGACTATTTTCTGCTCCAACCAACCTCTGGCAATTCTGCTAATGAACTCTTATTCGCTCATATTGCCAGCCCTTAGCACTTGCTCTTTCTTCTGCCTGGAATGTTCTCCCTAAATCCTTCATCTACAAATCCCTTTCACATGCTTACTTTACTTGTCAGTTGCACTACAGTGTTCTACTTATGCCTCAATCCTTCTGGAAAATTTCTTCTACCATATCCTATCAAGACTGGAGAGCCTGTTTTCTGCTGTGGTCCTAGTTTGGTAGTACTTGTCACTATGGTTATGATTTGTTTACTTTTCTGTCTCCCTAAGCCAGTACATCTCTAACATCTTACATAGGGCCAATTGGAACTGAAGTCATTGCTGAATAAGTGTATGGTTATACCAGGCCACCCACGTAATGCTTCTAAAATAATGTTTACCCTGTAAACAGTAGATGCTAAGTAATGAATGTCTCTTTTAATGTAGAAAAATATTCTTCCCTAGAACAGAGCAACTATAATAAGTTTGTACTTGCTTGACACCCTAACAAATATCTCTTTCATAGAGACGAGATTCTGGGGCAGTGGTCTCCCAGGATTCCCTGAGAGCTACAGTTACCTGCGTCAAAGTGTCAAGGAGGCCACTTTGTGACAGAGATGTTGGACTAAGTAGGCTACTCTCGGTTAGTTTGCAAATTAAAAAGGTATCATTTTCCCAATGGGGAAATTCCAAATTATGAACCCCTTGGCCCAAATTTTTGTAATCAGGCCCTTGACCTACTAGTATGTAATGGAAAAGATCCCCTCCCCCTATGTGGTGCACATGTAGCATATGGTAAAAGTGTTTCATAGTAAATGATATTTGCACATATTGCTGCTTGTCTTTAATAGCTAGTATAATTGTATGTCTCTCTGTGTGTGTTTTACTTAGCGAGTGTAGTTATGACTCTATCTCTGAAGCCTAAATGGAAGAGACAGCTCATAAATGGTACCAGGAATCTTTGATGATCTTAGGACTAACTAAAATGTCTATCGTTTCTTACCTACTCTGCATCAAGTGCTTTATTCAACTCTCTACTAATTCACTCAAGAATCTACAAGTTTGGAATTAGTATTACTAAATTACAAATTAAGAAACTATGATGTGAGATGCTTAAGAATTTTTTTTTTACAGATTTTATTGTTATGGAGATGGGCTTAGTGCCAGGGCACTAAGAACTTCAGAGCTTGAACTATATCTTTTGGGTTTGGCTGCCTTTGCCTGGTTAGAAAGCTTTGTAACAGAGAGCATCTCCCCAAAAGCTTGTCTTACCAAAATGGTTCTTGAACTTAATACTTCTTTATTCCCAGGTCATCTCATGAGAGCACAGCCTACTAATCATATCTGTATGTCTTCAAAAACCTTCTTCTTGGATTCCTAGCTTCAGGTTCCCTATCCACAGTCAAATCATTTTCCCAATGCCAGTACCCATTGCAACCTATGCAAGAATTTCAGTTCTAGCCTTGTACATCCTTTGCTTTGCTTCTGAAGTTTTATGTTTTATTCTATTGCCATATCTATCTTCTTCTGGATTAACCACACTGGCTTTTTTGCATGGCTCCCAAGTAGACCATGGACATTTTGACTTTCGTATGATGAATTCTTTCTTGGAAACCCAAAACTTTCTCTCGGAGAGTCATGTTGCTGACAATGAAGAATTTTTAATTAATAAATAATTTGATCAATTAATTAATCTATTTTGTGATGGTATTAGGGCTTGAACTCAGGGCCTGGGAGCTGTCCCTGAAAATTTTTGCTCAAGGCTAGTGCTCTATCACTTGAGCCACAGCTCTATTTCTGGCATCTTGATGGTTAATTTGTAGATAAGAATCTCATGGACGTTCCTGTGGTTTTGAACCTCTATCCTCAGATCTCAGTCTCCTGAATTGCTAGGATTACAGGTGTGAGCCACAAGTGGCCAGCTGGGATTTATTTTTTATTTTTGTCGGTTGTGGGGCTTGAACTCTGGGTTTGGGTGCTGTTCCTATGCTCTTCAGCTCAAGGCGAGCACTGTACCACTTGAGTCACAGTGCCACTTCCGGTTTTCTGGTGGTATTAGAGGTAAGAGTCTCACGGACTTTAGTGCTAGGGCTGTCTTTGAATCAAGATTCTCAGATCTCAGCCTCCTGAGTAGCTAGGATTACAGGTGTGAGCCACCAGCACCTGGCTAGGAATTTTTTGATGAAATCCAATTTATAGATTTAAATCTTTTTTTGGCTAGTCCTGGGCTTGAACTCAGGGCCTGGGTGCTATCCCTGAGCCTCTGTGCTTAAGGCTAGCGCTGTATCACAGAGCTACTTCCAGCTTTTTCTGAGTAGTTTATTGGAATAAGTCTCACTGCTTTTCCTGACTGGGCTAGCTTCAAACCATGATCCTCAGATCTCAGACTCCTGAATAGTTAGGATTATGGGTGTGAGCCACTGGTGCCATTAAACCATTTGTAATGATTAGAATGGGATCATATCTGTCCCAAGGTTGTACACAACAAATGTTCCTTAAGTTTTCCTCCAGAAGTTTTATAGTTTTGATTTTCACATTTGGCCCAGCATATTTCTATCTGGTTGAATGTCTCAAGTACATATGAAAAGATTGTGTATTTTGTACTTAGTGAATATCCTTTAGGTCAGGTTGGTTGACAGCAATGTTCCACCCATCTATATTTTCATTGATGTTTGTCTAGTTGGATGAACTACTGAAAGGAGCGTTAAAAACTCCAACTAAAATTTAAATTAGTCTGTTTTTCCTTTCACTCCTGTCAGTTTTGTTTCATGTGTTTTAAAGCTTGTTATAAAGGGAATGCTTACTTAGATATTTAGGTTTGTTATATCTTTTTGTCTTGTTAAACTATCCCCTTTATTTCTAATCCTGGTGATAGCCCTTGCCTTAAAGACTACATTGTCTGATATGAATCTAGCTCCTCCAGATATAGTGCTTGCCTGGTACATTATTTCCCTACATAGTTTAAATTTATTTAAATTATTCTTATTTAATATAAATTATACTGTTCTGGCACACACACACAAAAACTTTCTTTAAACTTAATAAAAAGTAAAATGTAATAAATGGAATGCAAAAAATTCAATTAGTTCAAGAAAATGCAAGAGACAAAGGAAAAGAACACAAAGGAAAGACACAATTGTCAATATGATAGATTTAGAGGGTGATAGGGTGAATATGATCAAATTTCCTCATTTACATACATGAAGATAGTATAATGAGATAATTAAAATTATTTCTAAAAGGGGGTAAAAGGTAAAAAAGTAATAAGAGGGGTGATTTTGACCCAAGCATATATAGAAATGTCATAATGAACCCCCTTTGTACAATTAACATATACTAGTAAAAAAGGATGATATACTTAGGCCACCATTTCAAAACTGTATTACATGTAAGTGGGAAAAGCTTATTTTTATATTTATTTTAAATGTATTTAAATTATATGTGTTTTTGTAGAAAGTGAAGTTCTTGAAGAGCACAGCTGGATCTTACTTTTTTGGTCCAATCTTACAATTTCTTAGGAGATTGTGTGCATTCAGAATGATAGGGCCATAGACAACCCTGGTAATTATAATCTCTGCCTGGCTTTTGTTTTTTTTTGGTGCCAGTCCTGGGGCTTTGAACTGAGGGTCTTGGCACTGTCTGTTAGCTTTTTTTCCCTTCCAGGCTAGTGCTCTACCACTTGAGCCACAGCTTTATTTGTTTTTTTTTTGGTGGCTAATTGAAGAGTCTCACAGACTTTCCTGATCTTCAGGTCTAAGCCTCCTGAGTAGCTGGGGTTACAGAAGTGAGACACTGGTCCCTGGTTTAAGTGAATTTTTAACATGTAGAACAGTTTATATTTATTCACTTATTGGACATTTCCTGTATTCTTTATTGTTTTGCTTAGAGTTGAAGTTTTACTTGAAGTGAATTTCCTTACTCTGAAAAATATTCATTTAATATTTGTTAAATGCAGTACTTGTTCTAACAATATGTTCTCTCAGAATTCTGCTTTTCATTCCTGAAGGATATTTTCACTGGCCCCTGAAAAAATATTGATACTTCTTTTCTTTCAGGATAAAAAATATCACTTCATTGTCTTCTTACTTGACTTTTTTATGATAAGAAGTTAGCAACAATTCCCTCTCCCCTCCCCCCGCCATGTAGTGTATCTTCTCTACCTATCAGAAGATTTGTTACTACTTGTTTCTAGAAATTCAGTTATGTTGTATGTAAATAGTTGTAGTTTCACGTCTTCAAATTCACTGTTTTTTCTGCAGTATCCAATATGATCTTAACCTCATCCATTTAATTTTTTTTAATGGAAGATATTGTATTTTTGAGCCTTAGAAGGTCCATGTGAATTTGGAGTTTAAAAATAGTTTTTATTCCTCCTTTTATTTGCTTCTGGTGTCCTTTAATTTGTGTGTGTGTGTGTGTGTGTGTGTGTGTTGGTATTGGAGCTTGAACTCAGGGCCTGGGTGTTGTCCTTGAGCTTTTTTGCTCAAGGCTCGTGTTCTACCACTTGAGCCACAGCTACATTTGTGGCTTTTTGCTTATTTAATTAGAGATAAGAGTCTTACAGACTTTCCTGTTTGGGCTGGCTCTGAACCAGGATCATCAGATCTCAGCCTCTTGCATAGGTAAGATTACAGGCATAAGCCACCATTGCCCAGCTAGTCCTTTAGTATTTTTGGAAATAATATATCTATTTTCAGTTCCTTATATGATCTGCTTCTAAAATTGATTTTTCACAGTTACAGCTTAGATTTTTCTTGTTCTTTTCATGTATAACATTAAAAATTTGTATGAAGAACATTAAATTATTCAAGTGCTTGCTATATTTTGTTCTGTCAGAGAGTTAATTTATTATTGTTAAGTGGACATTCACTTAGATTTGATAGTTGTTCTAGTTTAAGCTTCAGGGTTTAGAGCCTCTGTTGAATTCCCTGGGTGTTCAACAAGTTTTCCTCATTGTGGTTGGTTAGCTTTTGAATGTACCTTGACTACATGTAGGTTCTGAGAAGTCTTTAACTTATAGCTCTCTGGTAGTTGTTCTTTGATAGTTGTTTTCTGAGTAGTCTTATGTAGTCATAGCCTACAAATATAAAGCTTTATATTTATAAAATGACTCAAGATCACCCAATGAAGATCTATAAAGCTTTCTTTCCTGTAGTTCTTTCTTTTTTGATACTTTGTCCCTCAAATCTCAGCTACCTCAAACTCCTTAAACTTTGATCTCTGTTTCTTTACCTCAGTAGGTTACCATCCCATGGTTCTAAGTTTTGGCACAAGTGTATAGACAGAAAACCAGACACTTACCTCAATTGTTTTCTCTTAGGCATAAAATCTGTGTTCAATCTGCAAATAGTTATTTCATTATTATAAAATTTAAAATGACAGGACTGGGAAGTTGGCTCAGTGGTAGAGTGCTTGCCTTGCATGCCTGAGGCCCTGGGTTCTATTCCTCAGTACCACATAAGCAAAAAGAAAAAAGCCGGAAGTGGTGCTGTGGCTCAAGTGGTAGAGTGCTAGCCTTGAGCTGAAGAGCTGAGGGACAGCGCCCAGGCCCAGAGTTCAGGCCCCACGACCGGACCCCTCCCAAAAAAAAATGGTTCTAGCAATTGTACTATATCCAGAAGCTAAGTTTTTGTTATATATTTTATTAACATATTCCCATACAGAAATATATTGCACTTTGATTAAAGTAACCCTTTTTAGCATTTTCCTTATCTATAGTTCTCCTTTTTACAGTTTGATATTATTCCCAATCATCTACTCATTTCTCTCTCCAGATGTTCCTCTCAAACAGTCCCACATTAACATTCAGGTTATATCTGAATGTATAAACATATATCTAAAAATATACATATTAGTTATGGGGAAATCTAGAACATATATATATATGTATATACTGTATATATATGAATTATATATAGCCTATATATACTTACATGTAGGACAAATTAGAAACTACTGTGTGTGTGTGTGTGTGTGTGTGTGTGTGTGTTTGTGCCAGTCTGGGGCTTGAATTCATGGCCTTGGTGCTGTCCCTGAGCTACTTTTGCTCAAGGCTAATGATCTTACTTGAGCCACAACTCCACTTTCAGGTTTTTTGAAGAGTCTCAGTCCTTACGTCTCAGCCTCCCGAGTAGCTAGGATTACAGGTGTGGGCCACCAGCGCCCACAGATTCTACTTTTTATATAAATTCAAACAATTGTCACAGAGTTAACAAGTGCTGAACATGAAATTGTATAGAATGCTCAGGGTTCTGTCTGCCAGTGATGTTTACAGATGTTATAGGCAGAACATGAAAGAGTAGATCATAGTAGGGGATAAACAAAGGAGGAGGCAACAATGCTGGATAAGAAATATACTCATTATCTTCCTCATGTAACTGTAACTCCTTTGTACAGTATTTTCACAATAAAAAACTTAATTAAAAATTAAGCATAAAAAAGAAAGAGTAGATCATAGCTATAAGTTTTTGGATATCATAGCTCCTTTTCTCAGAGTTTCAAAGCTACAGATTGAGTCGAGGATCTAACAGGATTGTATGAGGCTGAGTTTATTGGAAACTAGTGTTAACAATATAACTGGTTTAAGAGTGAGCAGTATTTGTATGAACTCTGATTTTTTTCTATCTACAGGTCACAAATGACTCACCAGTCCAAGACAAAAAAAAAGGTAGGCTGAAGGAACTACCTCATAGCTCATAGAGTTACCTGAGCCAATACAATAAAAAGAGTAAGAGATACTGGGCTTGTAAAGATAAGGGCAAATGAATTGCAGGTAACTGCCAAACCCAGGAAGACTTCTCGGATGAAATGTCAAAGAAAAGAAGATAGGGCAAGGTAATATACATAAGGAAAATGAAGACAACATCTCAGGTTTAGAGGTTATGAGAGTGAAGAAAAGAAAGAGATTGAGCAGAATGACTCATTTGTTGTTTTTAATGCCTACAGTTTACCAGGAACTGACACAGGCAACTTCCAAAATTCTCAATGAAGGAGAATGTTGTAGCCATGTGGATTTCTTTGTAATTAGGAAAGGAATTAGACAAGCCATATTTCCTTCTGTGGTTTCTATGGCTCCTTCCAATTGTCTCTACACATTGGTGAGCTTCATTTTCCAGTCTTTACCTTGGCTTTCACTTCCTGAAAGGTCTGAATTCCTGGGGTCCCCTGTTGATACTATAACACACTGACAGTATGTTCAAGGTAGAAGTTGGGAGAAGCTGAATTGAATTGGGAAGGGATTATACTAGATAAATCAGACTATTTCTACTCACAGGTATAGAAAGTTTACTTATAGGTATGAATTTTTTTTCTGAAAGGTTTTCTCAGGGCCAGTAACATTTTCTGACATGTCTGGAAAATTTTTCTAAAACTGAGAAGAGCTTGTTGTAGTATAGTGGAAAGCTCATGGATTTGAAAGCTCTGCAGACATTCTTATGCTATTCATTAGCTGTATGATCTTGAACAATTTACTTTATCTCCCTAGAACCTAGATTTTTTACCTAAAACGAGAGGATATTGTAGTTCACAAAGTTGTTAGGAATGTCAAAAGAGAAATGCACAAAGGGCCAATTGCTAGGCACAGAATCAGTAGATATGTACTGGCTCCTTTCATTTAATTAATTATTTATTTATTTATTTTGTTTGTTGTGGGGCTTGCTGGGACTGGATACTATCCTTGAGCTCTTTAGCTCAAGGCAAGCACTCTACCACATGAGCCACAGTGCCACTTCTGGTTTTCTGGTGGTTAACTAGAGATTAAGAGTCTCATAGACTTGTCTGCCCAGACTGGCTTTGAACTGTGATCCTCAGATGCCAGCTTCCTGAATAGCTAGGATTATAAGTGTGAGTCACTGGCGCTGGCTGCTCCTTCTTTTTATGATGTTCCCTTGTGCCTTATTCACATAGGAGAGAAGATGGAGAGAGATATCAGAGGGATATCAATCTTCACTTTCTCATTGCCTCTTAAGCACAGATGGTGCATCAGGGAAAGAGATATTCACTAGCCCAGTATCAGGCTTTTGGGAAA